AACGCCTCACAACAGAACTCGGATGAGACGAAGGACTGATCCGGCTGTCTGGGAAGAAAAGGCAGATCCGCAGGAAACCAGCAAGGGGTCTGGTGACCAGAGGGCTGTGTGCTGTCCGCCGGGCCCTGAGCAAAGCCTGCGCCCCAACCCCCCTCACTGCGAGTCCTGGGGGGCGGGGAGGAGCGTGTTGTCACCTCACAGACAGGGAATCGCTGGTGAGAAAACTGCCACCTGCCGACTGCAGGAGCCAAGCAGAGGTTCCAGCCTCTTGGAGCAGCAGCTGGCAGGCCAGGCGCTGGGGGCCCGTGGGGGAGCTACAGCTCACCACCCCTGGGCTGGGGGCCCCGCAGGACCCTGTGGGGTGATGACAGGTGCACTCTGGAAAACTCTGAAACAACACACAAGACAACATACCTGTGTTTTTGCATTCCATTCTCTTGAGGGGACCGCTCCCCAATCTTCCCGATCCTGTCACTTTTGCTGGTGTCCAAGTCAATCATCCCAGTGACTTTCTGATTTGCCTCGGAAAATTCCCCGGAAGAGTTATCGGAATCGAAGCCTGCACAGGAGAAGAAGAACGGTCATTTTCGCTGGACTTGGAAGGTGTGAAACCCACCTCCAAGAATTCTGACTACACGAGCAGGTTATGGAAGCTCTACGTTGTTTTCAATGGACACATCTGGAATGACTTCTGCTTCCTCTTCCCCCAAAGGCCGTGGCAGAGAGCACAGGGGCACGCTAGCCCGGAACAGAGACTGGGAACACCGTTCCAACCGGAGTGTGAGACGTCCCAGGCTCCCCGGCCACACTGTGGTCTCGCGTCGCCATGGCTTAAGGTGCAGCTTCAGGGCACGAGTCTCATCCTCCTGCAGGGAACACTTCGCTCTAATCGAGGACTCGCGCCCTCTGGGTGGGCACCTGCACAGAGTTCAAAGCCAGGTGGAGGCTGCAGTGGGCCCTGTCTTCGCGCAAGGCTTGCAACTAGGCTCTGCATCTTGCTCTAAAATACGCCTGCTGACGAGGTTGCTGAGGAACGAGACCTCCGCAGCCCTCAATGCACCGTTAACTGCCACGGAAATGTCACGTGGGCGCTGAACTCGTGGTGGACTCTGTGCAGACAGGGACTCTGGAGAATGAACCGTCTGGAACTTGTGTGAAATGCTCCTGGACCACCAGTCCCGGGAGAGGCCTGGCCACTGCTCCCGGCCCCGCTCTGCCAGGAAGGAGCAGGTGACTACGGGAAAAGAAAAAGAGTGTTTCCCTTCCACTCGGTCAGTACAAGTCTGCGCTGCGGAGCAGGCTGGAGCGAGGGCTGGGGCTGCACGGTGCCCACGGGAGCCGGGTGATGACACGGACAAGGGCTCCACGAGGGAAGGGCAGGCGGGTAACCGGTCAGACCCAGCATGTAACTCAATCTGCTGCTACGCTTCCCTGAGAGTGAGCAAAAGCATCGTCGTGATGTCTTCTACGCTGGTGGAATTCACAAAATGCACTGCTGGGATTTACTGCGTGATGACTCGGAAAGGATGGATTAAAAGTGAACCTCTTAAATGATCGGTATTTTCTGAACCAGCCCATCACCTCTAATTTTCGCTGCCTATCCCCAAAGCAACATCTACTCAATCCTCACTCCAAAGTGACCTTGAAAACATGCCCTACTCAAGGGCGCTCCGCTGTGCAGGATCCGCCCTCGCCCAGAAAAACAGCAACACACACTCCACCACCAGGGGAAGCCTTATCTCCAGTTAGGCCAACACTGTGTAAATACTGAAACATTTTAACATATAACATGCATTTATTGCATTGATAGAAAGAGGAACTACAGATAAGCAAAGGAGAAAGCTGAAATCACCTGTAATCTGGTCACTCAGAAACGCCCACTTCACTAGGTCACTTTGCGTTTTGTGGCCCGTAATCCTATACGTACCTTTCACGTACTTTAAAACCTTTCATTTGAATGGTGTTGACTCTTAGAGAAAGTAATTTCCTAATGGAGTCATTCATTCAGTAACTGCTTGGCTTAAACACTTTCAAAATGAGTTATTCAGTGTGATTAACATCACAGACAGGGAAGCAGTCAAGACTCCGTACGGGCCTTTGGTTGCATTACGGGACTTTGCATTTTTCTCCTCTTCTATTATTTGTTTTGGAGCCAAATGACTAAGGCGAGAAATTATTTTCACTCAGACATCTGTCCCTTCCGCCTTGATCTCAGGGACATGCGGAGAAGCACGGCTGCCGGGAGCAGCGTCTCCCCAGCCCCACAGGGCGTTCGCGGACCGGGAGCCCATCCCAGCACCGCGGCACGTACGGCCAAGTGGTCTCTGGGGAGAAACCCCCACGACCGTGCTCAGAAAGCTCAGAGGTGCTTGGGGGAGCAGGGGTTACACCGTGTCCCAGGTGAAAGGGGACTTCTCAGAGACTCCTAGAGAGGAGGGACGCTGAGGCGGGGCTCTCAGTGACAAGACGTGGCCGCTCTCAGTGACAAGACGTGGCCTCCCACTGGAGAGCAAGGTGGTCCGAGGCTGAGACCACCCGACGACCACTCACGGAGTGGGAACAGCTGAGAGGGACAGCTGATGAGGGCGCGAGTTCAACCGGCACGTACACTGGGAGCGCATCCCAAAGGAGCACAAGCACTGCAGGACGTCAGCTGGGAAGTAATAAAAATGACTTAATTTAGCCTCTGAAAGGGGTAAGGAGCTCAGTGTCTCCTTCTCCCGGGACCTCACGTGAGAGTAAGTAGACAACCTGGGGCGACCATCCCATGGGCCCGTGCAGACAACGACGCCCACTCTAGCCCACTCAGCGGGGCCACGTGAAACCGAAGTTCAACAGAGCCGTCCACACGTGTCCTCGAGAGGCCATCAAGAGAGACCCTTGCACGGCAGTAACTACGCGCGTGCTTCCAGAGACCGCCACTACATCACCTGACCCGCAGTAACATTTTGGAAGTTGCAATTCCCGTATTCCTGTCCATCAGGAAGAGGAAACGCACCAGCACAGTCCCTCGAGGGCCCTATTACTCCGCCAGTAACAGTCTCTCAGAGAGGAAACAAGATGAGATTCCAGACGCTGACTCGGCGGGACAGAGAGCAGCAGACGAACCTACAGAACCAGCAATCTTGGACTTAAGACTTGTCCTGTCGTCTCCTAGCATCAGGCAGAAGACGGGGCGCTCAGCTGAGGGGAACTTGCCACCCCATCCTGTCCCCTGGTCTGCTCCCCACACGCGTCCACCTGCCACGCTCTCGTCCACCAGGCACAGATCCATCTCTGACTACAGGCTGCACACGGCACGCGACCACCTGCCACGCTCTCGTCCACC